CGGATTAACGCAGCAACATTTCAATGAGATTGCGAGAGAATTGCAGCAAGTACAGGTCACAGAAGTACTACCAGAACAGCAATTGTTATGGTAGAGGAATTTTTAAGAACGTTCAGACATTTCCAACATTATCCGCTATCATTCTTTTATTCTATATTTGCGATTTTCTGTGCACCATTTACTTCATTTCTTTGTCAATCTATTGTGTATATTTAATATATATATATCTGTATATGTAACCAATTACGATTACGGAATGTCAACCTCGGAAATGTCAAGAAAATCATGAAATATAAGGTATTATCACCGTTAGATGCATAGAAAAAGAAAAACTTTATTGCATTGGCGAGATGAAGCGAAAATTTTTTCGGAAAAATTTCCGGGATCGAGCGATTCAAAGGTGTAACAGGCCTAACTTATTTTGTAAAAATTAAGATATGCGACAAACTTCCACACAAATTCTCGTTAAAATGAAAAAAATAGAGTATTGACAATGACGAGAAGCGAATGAACAAACTGCCTGATTTCATCGATTATAGTGTCATGCAAATGAAATTTCGAACAATCATCATCGCTATATTGTAATTGCCCGAAATTTCGTCAAGACCATCAGTGAAACCACTAGTGATGTTAAAGGCTTGGTTTAATTTCCATTTCAGGACCCGACGGAACCGAAATTAACAGGATCAAGGGAACCCGGATCAGTTTACTGTCTGGCACAACGCACTATCTCATATTGTGTAGAAATAATTGATATTTTCCATTTCATAAATTAAAATTAAAATTAATTGGTCAAAGATTTTTTTTCCAAAAGAGTGAGATGCAGCGAAATTTCTATACTATAATTTTCATATTAATTATATTATTCTCGGATCACATGAAAAATCTGAAATGGAAATTTCATTTGAAGACACCAAATGCAGCTTTACGCGCCGAAACACGTCGCTCATCATTATTATTATTATTTTTTTTTTTTTTGAAAAAATCTCTGCTTTTAGGGTTCGCTCGACCGGTAAAATTAAATTTTCGAATCATGACAAAAATCTAAAATTGGACACAACGAGAATTCAAGTCAAATCTATGATGCATCTTTCATATCGTATTTTATCAGGATACTAAAATTATTATGAAACGAATAAAGATTGCAAAAAAATTCACGCGATAAATTTATTGTATATTGCATCTGGTATGTTTTTCTTGTTGATGCCTTACAAACCACCTCTAATATTTCCAATCATCGTTTTTATTCTCCTGTGAAGATCTAGATAAGAATCCTAGGTACGATTTCATCTATTAAAGCCAATCCTTTTTCGGTGGGCCTTAGTCCACCTTCCTTTAATTCATCGACAAAGTCAGATAACAACCAGATTTCATCGTTTTCGTATAACGTTGGCTTGTTATCTGACTTGTGTTCTATGGTGGTACCATCACCTCCGTATAATAGGGGAATGCTACCATCCCCATAGTATTTACCGTCATCCCATATCAAGAATCCATCTCGAACAAACGAATTCACTTGTTCCATATTAAGACACTGGAATGTAAATTGAATTTGATTGAACCATTAATTCACAAATTATTACTTGCAAGATAGGAGCGCAAATATATATATGCAGTATATACTGTATATCAGAAAACGAATACCTGCTCTAACTCTTGTCCATTGGAGTGTAGCTTGAACCTGGATCGAGGAATTCCAATTCTTGTTCGTAATCCAAACATGATCAATTCCTTTGTTTAATTCATGATTTTTACGCATGGGGTCGATGTGAATGTAAGGGATAAATAAATCGATTGATTTTTATAATGGATTTCTAACCTCCTTTACATCTTGACTTGTCATCCGAATGGATTTCCTCATCCTAA